TAATTATGTTACAAAGAGTTTGAAATTGAATAAAACTACTCCTTTTGAGAATCCTTGTTTTGTACGAGATGGAATATGTTCAAATATTATTTTCTTGCCTCATAATATTTATCCAAATTTTATATGGTTGGATATATCTTGAAATAATCTTTCCAATGATATATTATAATATTAATTCCGAGCTGTAATGAAAAAAATATGAATGGAATATGAAACTTTATCCAAAACTGACACCCTTCCACTATTTTGGCCATATCTTTTTATCTACCAAAGAGTTTAATCTGATTCTAATCGATTTGGAAATTAGACTTCAAGATCTTTCCAACGACATATTATAAACCTAATTTGAACTTATATATCAAAAGATATGATAAACACAAAAACCGCAAAAACTATATTGCAGCGCCGGACGAAAGCTTGTCGCGGGGCGAGGGGCTGTTGCGGCGACAACGTCGTGTTTTATTCCTCTTCAAACTCCAATTCTTTTTTTATCAAATTTGGACTGTTTTCAATACAAATAGCATCATTAGATCTCCGTTTTTAATCATCAATTCTCCATCTAATTCTCACCAACTCTCATCAAGAATTTCTTGATATACTCTCTCTCTCTTATTCTAAACCAACCTTTTACAAAAAAAATCTGCATTCACAAGATCTAGACACACCTAGCATAATTTGAAGTTGCCTTCACCCTAGATGTGAAAGGTTTGGTCCCAAATCTAGTCTAAACTTTCTCAAATCTCTATTTCAATTATTTAATTTAATTTTTTGACTTTATATTTTCCTTGAAGTTACTAACGTGTGTATTTTGTTATTAGAAAGAGATACGAGGCATCCAAGTAAGTACTTTGATTATTTTTATTGATATTATGATATAGAAATCATGCTTAGATTGTTATTTTGATTCCTAGTATTATGTTTAGGGTAATAACTAAAAATTCCTAATATCAAGTATGATTAAAAGAATTCTTTCTATTCTCTTTCTTAATATCATGTTAGTATCATGTTAGGGTTAAAGCTTTGATTTTTATTGTTTAGTGACATGCTAGGGTTTGTTATGTTATTATAATGCCTAAGATCTTTCTATTAATATTATGCTTTATTTTTAACATGATTATTTTAATTATGATTGTTATTTTGGTCATGATTGTAGACACCTACTTTTGGCCTCTTGTCCCGAAAGGAAGTGCGATATTGTTACAAAAATCCGTTCTTCATGTTAGATCAAAGTTGAAGTGTTTATGGACTACAAAAATCATTATGAAGTAATTTAAAACCCTTATTTGAGACCAAGTTAACTTAGAGCCTTGTCCGATTACTAATTAGGCCTAAAACGTCTTCATACTAGTTTAAACTTGATTAATAACGGACCCAAATGCGTCAAATGCAATGATTGGATCCAATGGAACCTACATTGTTGAAAAACCGAGCCAAAAAGATCGGTGCAAGGGAGAAGCTGCAATGATTGAGAATTTGAGAAGCCTAATTAGGAGGCTGAGGTTTGAGATGAGAAGTGGATAGAGAAAGTTAGGGTTGATAGAGAAGAGAAAGAGAGGCGGGGTAGGTGGAGGTCTAAATGTAGTAAACTAAATTTTAGGGTTTGGTGGGGTCTAAATAAAAAAAAAAGTGATTCTTTTTGGGATTGGTGGGGTTTAAACACTTAATTGAAGGAGGATACAAAGTATGTGATTTTCCTCTAATATCCGAATTCAATATTTGGATATCCGATATTCGATTTTGATATCTGATTTTTTTTTTGGATTATTGGTTATTCGATCTGAAATTGATTTTGAATCATATACCCATAATTTTTGGATTGGATGCGGATCAGATTATCGAATTTTCAAATAGTGTTGTCTAGTATTACTAAGTTGTAGGTTGGAACATAGATTAGTATAGAATTGCAAAGCAAGAAGATACAACTTTTTTTCTTAACTAAAAAGGGATTACAAACTACAAAATAAATTTGCCAAACTACTCTAAGGAGCTATACTAGCTTAATTTTTAATGTTACAAACAATACAATTAAAACTAAAGTAGTACATCATCCTTAAAATAAAATACTAACTTGAAAACTCAAGTATTTGCCTTCGAACTAGGATATAGAAGATATAACTCACTAAATAAAATAGGTATAAACTATAATATGTGGATATCTTTTAAAAAAAGAATAAATTTTATCATTCTTTATCAAATTTTCATATATTTAAAACAAAGTAAAAAATATTTCATACCTTATCAATCCTTATGTTGTCGCTTTGAACAGACATAATGATCTAATCAACTAATTTAGTAAGCGTTGTTTATTCAGTGAAACCTTGACATTGCTTGATGTCAAAAACCATCAATCACACTCTATAATATGTTCATTTGTGTTGATAAATAATTGGAAAGAAAAATCAAAATTTCCTAAAAATCGTTGAATAAAAAATATAAGGAAAAATTGCCCGCAATAATCCGACCTTTTGCCCGTCCGCTGAAAATAATCCCACCTTTGGATTATTTTTTAATAATCCCACCTTTACCCCCCGATCTTTTTTATTGGTCCCAACCGGTTAGTTAACTTGTTATAGCAAGTTACTAGCCACGTGTCGGCACCCAATTAGTCAAAATAATAAAATTAAAAAAAATAAAAAAAACAATTAATTAATTTAGAAACCACCCACCAACCAAACCACCTCCCCTGCCACCAATCCGGTGCGCTAGCCTCCCCTGGCACCAATCCCGGCGCGCTGGCCTCCCCTGCCACACCCCCTTGAACCACAATCGAACCCCCTTCCCTGAACCACCCTCGAACCCCTCCCTCCCTCACGAACCTCCACATGAACCACCCTCGAATCCTCACGAAACCAAGCCAACCCCCGAACCGGTTAACCCCATTCACGCGGCTCCGGCTTACCCTCCCCTCCCATGAACCACCAATCCTCTCCCTCACTCTTACCCCCGTCAAAAACCCAGCCCTTAAACCCAGGCTCCGTCCGCGAAAAACCCACCAACTCCCTTAAACCCAGCTCCGACGCGCCGACTTCCCCCATCCCCAGATTCTGGTCGCGTCGCGTCTCCTCCGTCCACCGTTTCCAGCCGCGTCGTCGTCGTCGTCCACAGAGGAGGGGTTGGGTTAAATGGTTAATGTGGTTAAGGGGTTGGGTACTTGGGTTAATGGGTAATTGGGTTTAGGTTGGCTTGGCTTGGTGGGATTCCGGTCAGCTTGGTGGTTTCAGGTGTGGGTGGGATAGTGGTTCTAGGGTTTAGGTTGGGTGGTGGTGGCTGAATTGGGGTGGCTTAGGTGGCGGTGGTGGCTTTTTACTACTTTTTTATTTTTATTTTTTTGACTAATCAAGGAGCAACACGTGTAAATTCTATTTTAAAAAAAAAAATACCTGCTCAACCGGTTCCAAGTAAAATGGGACCATTTATAGAGGAATGGGTATAAAGGTGGGATTATTAAAAAATAATCCAAAGGTGGGATTATTTTCAGCGGACGGGCAAAAGGTCGGATTATTCCGGGCAATTTTTCCAAAATATAAAGCGAATATATTAAATACTCCACATAGTGGTTCTTAAAATTTTATTTAAAAAACCCCCACATATAGCACCATACCTCAAATGCCACAGTTAAGTTTGGATAAAGAATATGTTGATCATCCACTACAAAATTTGGCCTTTTAGCGATAGGTGAAATCTGTTTCTGGACATAGCTAGCTACGGATATATCAATAGAATCAATTAGTTGGTAAAAACCTCTTGACTTGGCTTTGCATGTAAGGCTCCTTGAATCCCTATTCTCAAGAACTGCAATTGGTAGGAGTCGAACCTCTAACCTCTAAATCACATAGTGAAACTCTTACTGACTATACCAGATACTCTATGTTTACTTCTTCGCACATAATTGATAATAACTGAAAGAAATAGGGAAAATTGGCCACTATAACACCACCTATTAACGAGGTCTATAGAATAGCACAACCTTTTCGCTAAATAGTCTATAGCACAACTTATTGGCTTGAGTGCATGACATCATTGACACCAAAGGTCGGAGATTCCATCAAAAAAACTTTTTTTTTTAATTTCTCTCTTTATATTAATTTTTTTACAACCTCACGTAACTTTTGTTCTTTATTTTAATATATCCACTAATGAACCTAGCACAAAAATGAAAATTGTTTTTTAAAAAAATGAAAATTAATGGATTAGATTATGAAAGTATGACAAGTAGGGTGTTTAAAGTAATTTTTTACTTTGCTATATGTACTGCAATTATGGAATTACAAAAATAACTATATTTTGGTAGTACTTGTATTGAAAATATGTCAAATCACATCCAAATAACTACATTCCATGCAATTAGGATCATCTTAACACACACAAGCAACAAACCAGAAGGAAATTTAATTAAACAGTAACCAAACGGAAAAAATAAATAAAAAAGCCCTAAATTTAACAATTAAGAACATCAACAGTTATACCAAATTAGTACTCTAATTTTACGTAAAAGACCAATTACCATAGTTTATAGAAGAAACTTACAAAATTTTGCAACGAAGCTATAAAATTGCAAATGCTCGTGAAATTCGTGCTTTTGTGTTCATTAACAATGGTGATTTTGAAAGAATGTGGAAGGTGGAAAAGTTAATGTAGTATATAGTGCAACAAAGAAAGAATACCAAAAGTCACGTTGAGTATAATTTTTTTTGCTGAATTTTTTTTTTTTTAAAAAAAGAGAGAAGCTAAAAAAAGAAAAAGCAAATTTTTGGTTTTCTGGTGGAATCTCCGCCCTTCAGTGTCAATAATGTTATTTTGTGCATCTAAGACAATAGGTTGTGTTATAGAGTATCTAAAGAATAGGTGGTGCTATTGTCCGCACCTTGTCAATAGTTGGTGTCATTGTGGCCAATTTTCCTAAAGGAATATTGGAGATAGAATTTCAAAATTTGTCTCTAGTTTTAGGGCTGGCAAAAGCTGACCCGATCCAAAAATCCGACCCGATATCGATCTGAAAATAGCGGGCTTAGGTTGGGATTTTTGACTCAAAAACTTAAATGGTTCGACATGAACCTGACCTGAAAATAAAACGGATTAGGTTAAGGTTGAAAATTTCAACCCGAAAATGACCCATGTAACCCAAAAATATTTTCGGGTCAAAACTAGGTCGGGTCAAACCCGAACCCAACCTGATAACCCGAACATTATAAGTTGAAAAAAAAACGAAAAAAAATAAACTGAACAAACCTGATTAAAATTCAGCCCAAGCCCAAATATGTAACTAGTATCTAAAACCCTAAAATCCTAAATGCTAGCCTTCTCCTCACACACACTCAACCGTTTTGGCCACTCTTTATCTCTCTCTTCAACTCTCAACTCTTCAAACTTCCAATCCAAATCAATCATTCTCGGTTCCATCCTTAGATCTTCCTCTCCTTCATAGTTTAAGTGTTTAAAGATTCACCACTTCAACCTTCAAGGTGATTGCTATTTCGTAATTTTCTTTTATACGTTTTTTTGTTGTTGTTATAATACGACATTTTTTATTTTAAAAGATTTTTAACATGCTGAAAATTGATGTTGTTAAATTCTAATGTTGTTTAATTGTTTTGTTGATATAGATTATACGGTTTTGCTAAATTATATGGTCATGTTCCTATAATTTTTGTTTTAATTTTTTTTATATGGTCTTACATGTCTGTTGTTTTTTTTCTATGCTATTCAAAACCTAATTTTGATGTTGTTTGTTGTTTTAATTGTTATTCAAACCATAAATTATATGATATTGTATTTTTTTTGTTTTAATTGTTGTTTGTGTTTGTTATATTAATGTATTGTACGGATTGATGAGTCCTTTATTATTGATGTGTGCTTTAATTGTTTTTAGCAGATTCAGATCCTCACACGCCACAAACATCGCCCCTGCTTCAACTTGCTTCAAGTCTCCAATTGTACATTATTTGAAAACTATGTTGTATAAAGTCTGTATTAAAAAATTTAAAACATTGATTGGTTTTGAATTCTGGTTTGTAATTTATTTAGTATACTATTTTTCTGTATCTAATCTTTAATTACACTTTCTAAATAAATTAATTTTAAAATCAAGTCAAATCCAGTTACATTCGGGTTGACTTGAACCCGGCTACTATTAGGTCATTTTCGGGTCAAAATGACCTGATTTAAATCCAGATACAAAAATCAGGTCAATTCAGGGTTGACCCGAACCCGAAAACATCAGGTTCAAGTTAGGGTTATCAACCTGAAAAATTAAATGGATCAGATTCGGGTTGAGGGGTAGCTGACCCAAAATCAGCTAACCCGAACATGACCCTGTCCTGACCTGATCCATTTGCCATCCCTATCTAGTTTACATAATTTATCTCTTAAGTAATATTTTACATTATTCGTTTCTAAAATAATTTAGAGATGAAATTAAAAATATATCTCTAAATTAGGGATGGAATTAAAAATTCATCTCTAAATTAAAAGATGGAATTAAAAAACCATATCTAATTAGTTACGAAATTAAAAATCCGTTTCTAAATTAGCAAGGGATTTTTAATTCCGTCCCTTAATTAGAGACGGATTATTATTTCGTCCCTAAATTAAACACGGATTTTCAATTTCGTTTCTAATTTAGTGACGAATATTTAATTTTGTCTCTAATTTAGAGAAGATTTTTTTTTAATCCCGTCTCTAAATTAGAAACGGATTGAGTTTTGTCGCTAGTATTTTGTACTATATATATGGACATTACTTTTTTTGTAGTGGTATGACCGGAACAAATGCAGACTCTAAGGTCTGCCCACCTCACAATCTATTTTTGGCTACAAATGATCCTCCTTGGTACCAGACTAAGCAATATTGATCAAAGGCTTTGTAACTCTATCAAAGGAGAGCAATAACTTTACCATATGAAGCCTCTTTGTAGTTGGAAAAACAACATATCAACAAATTTTGGATTGGCACTTCATGCTTTAGTCAAGATCAAGTCTGAGCTATAGAAAAACTGAGTTAGTCGAACTGTGAGACTGAAGCTTCATTCAGCCCATTATCACTCATGGTGCTAAGAATCTTCTCACGGCTCAAAATTTCTATGCGTCTGGGTTAAATTTTTTTTTACAAACATTCTATGTTACCAATAACCTTAAAGGCAGATCTGGGCGTGAAGAAACCAATAATTACAACTATAGATTCTCAAAACAATGAAGAGCATGTAATAGTGATTAGCATAATTTACAACTGTAAGACTGTTGAAGCTTGAAGGTTTTGATGATGATGAATTTAAATTAAGCAAACTTCGAATCTAATAAGATTTTTCTAAGTGTTGTGATCTAGAAAGGTAAAGTTGACTTTGGAAGTGGAAGAGTAACTTTGTTTATCAAGATATTCTAGAAAGCTCAAGGAAAGTTAAGATAGAAAGAAGAAGAGTTCCCTCATAGGAACTAATAAAGTTCCTTTACATGAACCTGAAGACTACAAGGCATGAAAGTGACTTGGTCTGCGAAAAAGACAGCAAGTTCTGAAAAACTTAGTCTGCGAAGTTCCAGTTTAAGACCGGAAGAATATTTACAGCAGGAACTTAGTCTTGGACTGCGTGAAGCCCAAGTATCCTACGTGATTAAAGTATTGGCGCCGCAATTTAGATTAAATAATGTTTCTTCTTTAGAAATTGTTGTAAATATGTTAGGTAGGTTATGCATGAGATTTATTAGAAAGTATAACAAAAGCTTGCAAGCGTATTAGATTTGGAAAATTAAAAAGATAAGTTTTTAGAAAGGATTTTCATTAGAAAAAGATATGTTTCTTAAAAAAACTGATTATCTCAAAGGATTTTATTCTTTAAGATAATTTATCTTTATTAAATTTTCCTAAAAGATTTTCTTCAAAGAATTACTTAAAACTGTGTTTTTAGATTAAGGAAAAATTTACATGTATATCTTTTAAAACCCTACTTTCTATACAAGCTAGAATTGTATATATAGTAGAAATATGAAAATACATTTTTGTGAGTTTTATGCGTAAAGAATCTCTAAGAGTGCTTAATTGTGTAAATTTGCCAAGCCTTTAGCTTTGTCATAGTACTTTCGGATTTCATGCATTGCTTGCCTCTCATATAATAAGTCTTTACTTTGTAATTGGGTGGGATCTTGGGTGTCTGATTGTATTAAGTCTTTGCATACAATAGTGAGATTTGTAATTAGAAAGTACGAGTGAGTCTAAGTCAGGGACATGGACTGGGTAGGATAGAGTCCTACTATGCAGCAAGTTCATTCTGGAACTTGTGAGTATAAGGTCTGATTATAATAGGTTTGTAACTTTTGAAATTTTCCCTATTATAGTGAATTGGTTATGTTTAGAAATCCTTTAGAAGGGCCGAGGTTTTAATTCCAATTGGGCCCTGGAAGGTTTCCTCGTAAAATATTGTGTGCACTACTAGTTCCTTTAACGTTGTTTTATATTCTGCGAAAATAGTTGTTTGGGGTAATTTTACCCTGACACGTGGCCCAATCTGGGAGTGACACGTGTCACCTTAGGGTTGGTCCATGTAGGACCAATCCCTGTCTGACACGTGTCCTTCCAAGGAAATTAAGGAAAAGGCGGCCTTCATGGCCCAAAGCCCGAGAAAGCCGGAATGCGCCGCAACCCACCAATGATTAGGGCTTGATGAACTAATCAGGGGCACAATTCCCGAGGACTCTATAAATAGGGAGATTTTCTCCATTTGGAGGCACGTTTTTACCATTTAATACACAGTTCACTCTTTGATAGAGACATCTAGAGCTTGAAATCCGAGCAGATACCCACCTAAATTTCCGCACCTTTTTACTCCTATTCAAGTTACTAACTTGATCGTCGGAGGCGGAGCTCTAACCACCCGGAGTCTCCGTTGTTTTGCAGGTACAGCTCACGCCGGACCAGACTTTGTGACGTAACTCTCCCGAGGGACAAAAATACCCAAAACATTTGGCGCCGTCTGTGGGGAGAGTAACTCAAAGATTGTTCAAGAGTCTGTGCCACCTCCTAAGCGTCTGGGTGACGACCCAGAAGTTTTCACAGACCAAGAGGATGAAGATCCTCAGGTTGAAACCTATACAGCCGAAGATGGCTATCTGATAACCAAGCGCATCCGGCCCAGAGACACTCTAGAGCGGGGTGCCAGCCAGGCGGGTACAAATCGACCCCCTGGGCTGCCGGAAGGAGAAACCCACACGACAAGTGGATCAGCTCCCGTCACCCGAGACGAACTCATGAAGTTCATGACAAGTTTCAAGGGTGAAATTAAAGATCTGATCACCTAGAACCGGGCTAGCCCTAGTAGGGGTTAGGCGGCAAAAAAGACTCCTCTGGAGAAGGGGAAGTCAGTCATAGATCGGCCGCCGAGACCATTGATTAGTACAAAATTCTTCTGCCTAAGAGGAATGTCAACAATCCCCGCCGGACTCAACAGCCGGTGGGAAGCAAAAAGTCAACTCTTGATGCCCGGGAGATCATCACCCGCAAGAGGAATCAGCAGTTGTCTGAGTCGGATTCTACGTCGAACTTTCCAGACAGCTTCAACAACACCTCTGCAGGGAATGCACCTTCCTTGCATGAGAGCCAGACAGGGGGTAATACCGTCCATTCTGGCCCTTGGATGATTGGGACTGCACCGTATGTACCTTCTCAGGTCTATGGTTAGTATCCTCCTTACTTCATGCAACCGGCCTTCTTCGGAGGTCAGGCGGCATACAACAATGTCCAGCCACTGGACTGGCAGCTCTGTCTGCTCCGCCTGGATGAACAACCTTCTGCGTTCACCCGGGACATAACTGAGGCGGCACAGCCGGCTAAGGTTAAAAATGTGTTGGTAGGTACCTATGACGGTACCACCAGCCTAGAAGATCACCTCATGGCATACACCAACCTCATGTATTTACAGGGGTTGGATGATGCCACTTGGTGTCGATGCTTCTCGTCTACATTGAAGGGCATTTCCCAACAATGGTTTGACAACTTGCCAACCGGGTCCATTGATAGTTTCAGGAAGCTTGCCTTCCTGTTTGCTTCCAACTTCTCGATGAACATCCCTGCGAATAAAACAAGTCTTGACTTGAGCACCATTAAGCAGGGGGAGAGAGAAGGGTTGCGCTCATATGTCAGGCAGTTTAATCTGATCAGAATTCAGATTCAAGGACTGTCTGATGAGGTAGCTTTTACAGAATTTTTCAAGGGACTGAGAGATGGGTCGACTTTTAAGTTTGACCTAGTCAGAATAGGGGCTTTCACCTTACAGGCGGCCCTGAGGGAGGCGAAAAGCTATATTCAAGCGACCAATCTCTGCTCGCCTGGTAACCAGTCGGACTCTAAGAAGTCTGACAAACAGAAAGACAGCCGGCCTTCTCAGCCGGCCAAAAAGAAAGAAGAGAGAAAAAAGAGAAAAGAAGTCTGGGCGGTTAGTAACTCTAACCAGCCGTCCCAGAAGAAGAAAAAAGAGTTTAAACCATACGTCCCCAGGTACGAGTTTAACAAGGACTCTAACTCCATCCTCATGGAGATAAAGGACCGATTGACCATTGAAAAGCCGAATCTAATGAAGAGTTCCGTCCAGTCACTGAATAAGAATAAATTCTGCCAATACCATGAGGAAGTTGGCCATGACACCAACGACTGCTCCAGCCTTCAACGGGCGTTGGACCGTCTGGCTGACAAAGGGATGTTAAATTCCTACATTTCTAAGTCCAAAGGGACTAATAAGAAGAACAAGGGGCAGTCGTCTAGGACACCCTAACCTGCTAGTAGTTCGGACACTGATAAGGAGCCGGTCTACACCATAGCAGGCGGGTTCTCATGCGGTGGCCCTACCATTCGGGGCACCAAGAGCCATCTTCGAAAGATGGACAGAGATGATGATGAGTAGGCGTCTGGTAGCTCCTCCTTCCCAGACGTTCTGATCACTAAAAAGGACAGGGGCAGCGTTCGCCGTCCGCATGACGTCCTGGTCATCATTGAATGTAAGGTTGCCAACCAGCTGGTTGGACGAATCCTTATAGACACCGGCAGCTCATCGGACATCATCAGTCTCCAGTGCCAGCAAAAGCTGAAATACAACATCAGCAGCATGC